TTTACATTTCAATACTTCACAATAGTTCAGTTTACATTTCAATACTTCACAATAGTTTAGTTTACGTGTCAATACTTCCCAATAGTTCAGTTTACGTGCCGCCTTCCAATGCCGCGATAGGCATAATGATAACATTCGCTAATAAGAAGTGGATTTTAAGTGCTTGTTTCTCAACAGGTGCACTCAAGATTCAGAAATTAAAAAGAACTATGACTTATTCCATAATAAATAACACCAATAAAACTTTAGTTTTGCTGATTCTTGTCTTTTTGTGCACCTATTGAAATGTGCTAAATTATGAGATGCCTTGCATAAAAGGCTTTCTCTTAAAAGTCATTTCAGCATAATATTTCTTGATGCAGATGTTTCAGCGGCTGTTCGAAGCTCTAGAGACTTCTGCCTAGCACCCAAAATGCCAATCGCTAGAGACAAGTATTAATCTTTATAACCACTTGTGATTCTTTTCTGCCTTTGCTTATCTTTTCGGAGAATTTTCTCATTTGTTAGGTCATTGTGTCATTTAAATGCTTAATTACTCTACTTCCAAATGACAGATCTCCACCATAAACATCCTCCAAATGATTATTTGATCTGGGGAGAAATTAAATTAAAAACAAATTAATTAAAATAAATTGAAGTTAAGAAAGGAAAAATATAAAATTTTGGAAATAACATCTTGCTCAAAATATGTGTCACATAGTTCAATATTCTAATTTTCTCATTCGAAAATGTTTTGATTAAAACTGATTGGATATTTATAATTTGACAATATCGGCCTATTTTTTTATGTTTACTCAAAAAAGTATATATATAATATATATGTAAATTACACTTTTATATAGAACGCAAAACTGAGACAAACAAAATAAAAATTATTTATGAAACAAGCGAGGGAATTTAAATCATCATATTCCCTGCGCTTCCATTTCATTAAAAATAACATTTCATTAATCTTAAATTCATACCCGAATAAAATCAACAGATCTTAGTAAATTTTAGAATTTATTAATTAGAATTTTTCTGTAAGCAAAATAAGTACGTTTGCTGTGATATCCGGCTCTCTAACACTTTTAACTTCTCTTAAGCAAAGCTAAATTAGCGTAAATTACGGTTTCTGTTGTGCTTTAGGTAGCAGATAATTTTTTACGAGTTACGTTTTCCTAAGATTTTTCAACCTACATTATCAGAGAATTCTCCCAAACTTCCTGAAAAACTGAAAAGCTAAGCACTTAACTATCCGGGCACCCGCAGAATTTCTCGAGAGTCTTAAATTTTTTTTACATTAGATACTTTTGCGTTCTTGGGAACAATTTATGAACTAATACTGGCTCTTCCACAGATCATTGACCTCATTCAATCAGATCTAGTCGTTTTCCGTCACAACATTTTTATAACATCTGCCTGAGTTAGTGAATTTAAGTCAAGCAGTTGCATTCCTGTTTCGTTATTTAACATTCAGACAGCAAATTTTAGCTGTTGATTACAGTAATATATTAATATTATGCATACCAATAACATTGTATAGTTGCTACACTTAATTTGTACATTTATCAGAGCTCATATAACACGAAGTTTTCATTTGAATTTTGCATAAAACTGCTCTTTTTCCCTTCTCCTGAGATTTTCGTATGATGTTGATTGATATCTGAAAGTTCAACTAAACACTCAAAATCTTTAAATTTCTAATTAATTTTTATGAGCAATTTCATTGAAAGAATGGTCATACATCTCTTTCTTTAGTCACTAAAACGTGTTTTTTCATCATTTGATACATATATATCTTTTAATTATTAGCATAAAACAATTTCTTATCAAACAGCGTTGAACTCTATAAACGTGGAGTGACTGTGCATTATATTAGCATAACATCAATTTAGAATATATATAACTAACTGTCATCTATTAGAAATAAATTTCATTACTTTCATGATTAATTCCGTGTTGATATTGAACTATTTGTATGCTTTGTCCAAATGCAGGTTAAAACTGCTATTTGCTCATTTCGAATGACATTAAATGTTTTAATTTCATCTAAAATCTAATTTTAAGTAATTTAAAATCCTGATTTTAAATATTCCATTCATGTGTTTCTCTTCCAAGTTGAAATTAAATGCATTGAAATATATAATAAAATTTGCTAAACAACACAGAAATGACAAATTTTGAAATGCAATTAGTTTTTTATCAAGTCCAATCTATATGCGTATCTTTCTTTCTATATCATATGAATCCAACAGTTTTGAAACTTAAAATGCAAACACCTGTTAACATGAAACTGATAGAAATGCATAGCCAATGAAAGTTCAGAGCAATTCTGAAACGACAGAGAACTCGCACTCCAAAATAATAGGGAAAAGTAATAACGAAATTTTCCTAGAAATGCTTTCGCCTAGATCCGGTTTGAAGATTAATATCCAGTAGAAATATTTTATTCTGAACGCTGGCAACTTTCGAACTGACTTTATAGACTATTATTCTGTCTTCTTTTCTTTTTCACAGGGGCCCACCAGCGGCCGAGCGGTAAAATCGCTGAACACTGGTAGTTCGGTCCGAGGTTCGAATCCCGCAAACGGGCTGGCTGCATGAGCGTTTTCGTGGTTTTCTCCATGTGTAACGTGTATACGAACCAGTTTCCCTTAGAAAGTCCTCCACGAAGGCATCCCTCCCCTTAGGCAGATAGCCCTCGAGGCTTTGCCATAATCACACACACACACACTTTTTCACAGTATCCTATTATTACTATATTAACATCTTATTAAAATAAATCGTACCTTGCTGACACGTTTTCCTTTTATAAATAAACTTGAATCTACTAATTTAATGTCGCATACGTATTTAGTGCCGTATTTATGCGAGTGACCGGCTATCGAAGAATTTAATTTCAATGCTTCCATTTAAGTCATTGATGTTTGAGAATCTTTATTTTTATACTAAGGCATGCATGTATGCTACTGACTTTTTTACACTACTTGTTATTATTCTCTGCATGTATGCTACTGAATTTTTTAAGCTATCTGTTATTATTTTCGTCATAAGATCGCTAACTGTCAAAATTTGACCCTAGGAACGCTGCAGTTGATCTCAGAAGACACAGTGTAATCACTTTACTGTAGGTAGACACAGTTTCAGCAGTTTCAGCTTCCAATGTTAAATATGTTAAAAATGTTTTTCGATGTTTGAGGGCGACCCCCTCCATGGCCACGATCAGTTGGCATGCCTCCACTGATTGTAGTCCTCGACCGATTGCATCATGGTCTAGTCTACGAGATCCAGGTTGCACTTGACATTGACCTGGTCTCGAAAGTCGTCGAGGCAGCTCGGCGGGTCTGCAACAGAACTAGCACGTTTGCTCCTGTTAGTTAATCAAAGAATCGATATCGTGAGGTGCGTATTATTCCTGGCGAAACAATCTTTGAAAAACACCTGTGATCTTGTAAACGTCATATTGCTTAGTCGTATTGCAAGCATTGGCTAATAAATATGTTGTAATAGCTTTTTTGCTGTTCTTTATTTCCGCTCATTCGTTTACTTCTAGTACTTTTGACTGATGTTTCTGGGCATAGATTCCTATAACGCCTAAAAAATTAGAAACTACTTGTATGTAATGAAATAACACAGCCGCGCTGGAATAAGGATACTCAATTGTACTCGTAACATGTAAATGTGTTGTTGCAGCGGTAGATACGATAACTGGTCATTTGTTGTTCTGTGTTTACTTCGCTACAACACATCGGCTGTAATCATAATGTTCGCTGAGAAATTTCCTTGCATTTCATAAGCGGTGAAAAGAATGAATAACCGCCAAAGTCAGACGACGGAATGAGGTAGAGAATCGTTAGAAGTTTAGAGGTAGGGTGATTCCAATTTCAGGTTGCAAGAGATCCGAATATAATGCCTAATACCGTCTGCAATTTGCAAGAACAATTTCAAACGAGCCAGTTCATATTCAGAAGCGTTGCAGCAAGGTGTCTGAGAATCACGTCGCCCATTCAAGAGCAGTATTTCGCACTTTCAAGCCACGCGTCAGAGGACTCAGCTCTTTTCACACAGCTCTATCAAGAGGTTTATGGCGTTCAAATTCCGAAGACTAGACTGGCTGCATAGGATGTTTCGTGCATTTCTTCATCAGTCACATGAATTTGAACAAGTTTCACTTAGAAAATCATCCACAAAAGCATCCCTTTCCTCTTAGGCATGTAGTCCTTAAGTGTTTTTACATAATCTAATTAATCCAGTCCAAGAGGTTTATGCTGATACTGGAGCCTTACTTTTAACAATTACTTTTCCTCAAGGGCTTCCTGAGAGAGGGTTTTTTTTGCTGGTAAACCACTCTCTGGCTCGATTCATTCACTCATGTAAAAAGGAGCATCTGACATGATGCGAAGGACATGAGCCTCAAACCCCAGCTTGAGTGCGTCCAAGTTCTCTTCAGTAATAAGTCTAGATTTAGACTAGATATTGAATTTCAATGTACCTTCATTTGGAGAGGACCTGCAATCAGATATCTTTCCTCCAACATTAAGGAAAGGGACTACTACGGCAACAGAGGTGTTATGACCTGGACAAGCATCGTGCTTATGTGCAAACGCCATCCCATTCGTTTGACAGAGATTCACTGAATGTTCAGAGATATAGAGGAGAGACCTTTGAATCCCATGTGCGATTTTTCAAGTTCGCAGTTGGCAATATGGAAGTTTTATATTACGCTTTATCAACACCAAATTTTATTAATATCAGTGCAGCATGTTTTGGGAAACTCAAAAAAGTCTTTGAACTCTTAATTTTGAACATAACTCTATACACGCACGCACTCTTGATGTATGCTAGTTTTTAATGCATTTCTTTAAATAAGCGTTTTCACTTTTAAGATCGGATCTGTTGAACTAAATTGCTGCTCCCACTCTTATCTTAAATAACTTTCGTTCTTATCCATTTCTATTAGATAAATGAATCTCTACTTATTTTGAATGGAATATGAGAATTTACTTTTATGCTTTCAGATTGCTGACTTCGGCTTATCGAATGTTTTTGATGAAAGAAGAAGAATGAATACCTTTTGTGGAAGTCCCTTATACGCGTCTCCAGAGATAGTAAAAGGAACTCCATATAAAGGACCAGAAGTAATATTTTTTTTTTTTTTTTTTGTCTTTTTCCATACTTCCTTTGTGAAACTTTTCAGATAATGACAATATAATTTTCAACGCTATTTGCCAACCAAACTTATGTGAATTTGAGTAATTACCAGTGTGTTCTGTCACAGCTGATTAAGATAATGTCCGATACTGTTTGATAAAATAAGAAAATGAATTTCTTCATAGTTGTGCAATATAGTAATCCATTACGCCTTTTTTACTGTCTTCAAAATCAAGCATGCATTTTTAATCTGGGGAAGTTTAAATGCAAAAACTTAAAGTTACTTATTTTTCATTTTCAACTATAGCTTCCTATTTTGGTGACATGCAAAACTGGAAATAGATCACTGTTGTTTCATTTAACATACTTTCTAAGCCTTGCTTAATACTGTGACTTGTTCACAGGTTGATTGTTGGAGTCTAGGAGTACTCTTGTATACATTAATTTACGGAACGATGCCTTTCGATGGAAGAAATTTCAAAGAGCTTGTATCGCAAATATCCGAAGGAAGATACGAAGAGCCAATAATTAAATCGAGTAAGTATATGAAATATAAAGTAATATGAAAATGGATGTTTGTTTTTAATTGAAATAGAAAGAATATATATAAGATATTTCATATTGCTTCGTGCTTTTTCATGATGCAGTTAAGCAGGTTTCTAAAACTTGAGTGTTATTCTGCAAGTAATAAAGTTCTGAACTTGTTTTTATTTATCTCCGTATATTTATGCTGCTTTAATAAACCGTAACATTGTAACAATAAGTTTCTTAATTAAATATGTTATCAAGGAATAAAAACCCCTTCCATCTCTTTGAAACACCGGGTTATACAACTGATGCTAGAATTCACAAAGAATTATTTTGGTCAGATTTCTTCAAGGAAATGTCCTCTAAAAAGAAAGATTTTGTTTTTCAGGCAATGAAGATAAAATATTATTGGACTCGAGAACATATTGAATTCTTCCTCCTGCTACTTAGTTATTTAATGTATGAAATGTTAATAATTAATTATTTAGCGCTCAAATAACATATTAATATGTTGCTTTTTATGACTTTATTAGCAACAATATCAAATTCATCATGCCGCTGAAACACACTGCCATTTAGAAAACGTATTTCATTTTAACATCGAGGCGTAATTAATACCCAGCTTTATCTTTTATTCATATTTTCGATAATCTGCAGATTCTGTTTCTCTTAATCTTTACAAGAGCATTTCATTCTATGACAAAGTGTTGTTGTGAATAATCTTGCTTGTCTGATAGCAGCCCACGAAATTCATCGGGGTAAAGAGGCTAGATAGCGCGCCCAGTTTTGAAGTCAAGCACGCCGAGGGCACGGGTCCGAGGGTATCCCAACCCTCTTTACCTACCATCAAACACTCCAGAGAGATTTCGGCTCTACGCATAATCAGTGTGCCCCCATTCCGTACTACACATTTAATTACGATGGCTCGATGCCGTATCGAAAGGCCCGGGATTCGAATCCGGGCCCTTCGATACGGCAGTCACCGTCGCTAACCGCTAGCCGGTTGAGCAGCATAGCTAGAATACTTTGCAAATATCGACAAATGTTGGATTTTTGCTCATGATCGTATAGAAAACAGCAGTATTAGATACTATACTTCGGCTATGTTTTAGTACTATAATTTAGGATAACGACTACACCTCCACAGACTTTGACCGCTATAAGCTCCATAGATTTTGAACCTGAGCAATTTATGAGACAGCCTACATTAGATGAGAGATCATCCTAATGCCTGTGCTAAACCAGCGCATTGCCTCAACCTGCGACATTTTTACAAATGATTCTAAAACTGACCATAGTAGGGGCATGACCAACCATGTGCCTTCAGATCAAGCAGATTAATAGTTCACGGATTTCACGAAATTCTTAGACTACGTTACAGAGAATTACAGCACTCCTTCTGTGTGTGCTTTTTTTGTGTAGTGGTTAGTAAATCCAACTAGCAATTGGTAAATCCTGGTTTCAATACCTGAAGACACCTGTAATATTGTGAGTTTAGGGGCTCACAATATTATCTGGTGAATCCGTAACAAGTTAAATAACCTATTAAAACCTTATGCTAACTAAACTAGCAAAACCTGAAATAAACTCATAAGGGCTATTTCATTCAACATTTTTGTCATCGTAATTAATGGGAGTCAATGCGTTGTGTTCTAAAAGTCCGGGACCGTGCTAGGAAAGAATCGGACAAAAAGATAAATGTAATTCAAAGATAAAAACATGACATAAATTTCAAATTAATTCTGATTTATTAAGTATTCTCAGGTCTAAAAGGAATTCTCACAGAATCATCTTTTTATCCTAATTTACATAATTATGGACTACCCAGTTCATAATTATGTAAATTACCCAAAACTAATTGATAATATTGGTATAAGATAACAGATATGATATATTTAGCTCTGTGCAAACAAGCCATAAAGCAGAAAATAGATTATTACGTTTTTTTCACCTTCAGGTGTTAAGTATGCATTAATAATTGGAAGAACAATTAATTCAGAAAAATTTAACATTTTTAATTATTAATTATTGGGGCTTCAGCCTAAAATTAAGTCTGCAGTAGAGCTAAGGAAAAAAAAAAAAAAAAAAGCGAACTTTCAAGAAAATTAAATTTAGAGTTCAATTAGGTAAATTCCTTCAAATAGGTTACTTTAGAGCCAAAAGCCAGTTAATATCACCAGTCCTTTACTTAATAGTGGGAGGAATAAAATAGAGCGACTTCTCTGTCGAATGCGGTGCCGAGGTTCCATCCGAGATTGGAAGCAAGCGTCTGCCAAGAAATAAAGGCTCTTCAGCTGCTACGATTGTCTAGGCTCCCGGTTGCAGGACACGTCAAAGAAAAGTCAGGGCTTCCGAATTTGATGATTTGAAGCATTATGCAGAAGCAGGTGAGGATCAACATCAGCGGCGAAACGATGACAATGCAATTAGCAAGATTAGGCCAGAAGTCAAATATATCCAGCACGTGTAACCCACTAATTGATGATTAAAAAACAGCATGCGAATCGAGGTACATTCTTTCGAGAACATAGCTTTCCATTCTAAAAACAGCTTTCTTCATAGTACATGATAGGTAAGTATTAACACTTAACTGGTCACGAACCGCTAGGCTTAATCGGTCGGCCACGCCAGCTCTCATCAAAAGAGGTAGGAAACACAAGGAAGAAAAGCGAAACCATCCTTTCTCTTAGTTGAGACAGATTTACTAGTATGGGAGCAAAGGCATTTTTATGCTAACTATCAAAGAGCTTTTATTTTCCCGAAGTTAAGGTGGGATCAACAAGGTCGGGAGCATAAGTGTAGCTTCCCCCTTTTGCCTTCGCATCTCATTCCACGACGAAATACCCTCATTTGCGGTCAGGTCATAAATTTACAATCCCTTTTTTCAGGGGGAGAGCTGACAAGGAGCGGACAATCTCGCTAGGGATCTTGAGAAAATGCGGGGGTTGTTTAAACATCTAACTTCTCTGCTTTCAGTTTTATACACAGGAAAATACAAATTGAATTCTTCGAATGAATGCAATTTTGTACAATGAAAATGTATCACTTAACGATAAACTGTAAGATAAATAACATCTTTTTTTAAAGCCATATAGGTAGTAGAAAGACAGATATTTGTTACATCGAATGAATTTGTAGTAAATATTGAGTTTTTCATTTCGAATGCTATGTTCCATGTATGGCGAAGTAGCTGAGTATGTGAGATAATAGTCATAAACCGAATGGCTTTCAACCTTTTCACGGCTAAGGACTGTTTCTCAATTACATTGTTGTCGTCGCTGCTTTTTGGTTAATTTTCTAATGACATATAAACAATAATTGTTTTTATTTGAGACTTATGAATAAAATAACGCAAACTAGACTGCAGAAAATTCTTAAGAATGAAAGTTAAATAATACTGAAAAATACATTATTGATGCACTTTTGTGTTTTATATGTAGTAGTATTAACTACTACTATAATCCTTAAATGGAATCCTTAAATTATATATGTATCTATGTATAGGTATATATAAATGGAACCAAATATAGAACAAGGTATAAAATATCAAAGGAAAAATAGCCTTATTATACAATGTTCATTACCATACGTATATTTACGTAATATCAATATAAATAGTTAGTTAGGTTTCGTACATATATAATTTATTTTTATATTTTGTATTTTTTGTATTAGATTCAGTATTGTATACGTATCTGAAGTTTAATTTGTTCTCTTTTTGGGTTACGACTTTAAGTGAGAAAGAATTGTTAGGGCCTTCATAGGGATTACATTATATACAATCAGTTAGGATCCGACTTTTCCTTTCTTTAATCATTATATATATTGAAATACTACTTGATAAGTATACATAAATATAGCAGTTTTTTAAGCTACTTATTTATATATCTATTGTTTGGTCTGGTTTGTTTGATTATAGCAAAGCATTCGACGGTTATTTGCCTAAGGGTAAGGGTGCCTCGTGGAGAACTTTCTAAGCAAAACTGACTCTTATGCAACGTTACACGTGGGGAAAACCTCGAAAACGCCAATACAGCCATCCCCGTCGATCCGGATTCGAACCCGGATCGACCTGCCAGAGTTTCAACGACTTTTACAGCTCAGCCGCTAGTGAGCCACCACACACACACACATCCCACACATATACATTAAATAGTATTTACATGTCGTTTATAAAGTATAATTGAGTGCAATTTAATCATAAAGAGTTAGAAAATATTCTACGGAATTACTTCACTTCGTAGACTTTTTGTTAAGCTTCACCATATTTCTTAAAGAGAATCTCAATGCTAGTTCCATTTCCAAGCTGTTTATGTACCTTATTTTTCATGCTTATTATATTTAGAAAATTATTTCACTTGGTTATAGCTGAAAATGCAGTTTTTTTATTGAAGAATTTAAGGGTAAGAAGAGAATTATGCCTTTTCTAATTAATTATTCTTGAAGCATTTAATTTTTTAAAAAAAGCGCACATTAATACGATCACTGAACTAAAGTGCTCGATACAGACAGATTAATT